TCAGTCTGGCATTTCCTCAGTGACTCCGTTAAGGCACATGTTCAGGAAATGAGTGCGATACAGATCTTATCTGTATCTACCTTCTACAGAAGGTAGAAGGTCTCAGCCATGCTAAGGGATAAAAGTAAGAGCCAATCAAGTTCACCATAGATAGTGGAAATATTTCAAGTCTGGGATCCACAGAGGAATCAGATCTTGGCACAGTTAGACATGATTCCTGTCTCTCTGTGTGCTGAGATGGAGGAAACAGTGAGTTTGCTTTATCCACTGATGGGAAAGTCTGCAGTCTACGTATGGAACTGAATTCATCAACTACCCAAGCCAAGTCTTTAGGATTTTATTTAATGTGTTCACTCCTGACAAGCTTGTTGTTGAGAACTCTTTAGTAGTACTTTACACCGAGCGTCTTTCCCTGCCTCCCAAATCTGATCGTTGGTAAAAACCCAGATGTGTTGGAATTAGTCCAAAAGCCACAATTAGAAAGGTTTGGTTTCTTCTCAAGTCAGAGGATGACTCTTTTCCCTTAAGAAATGAAGTTAACCCTTTGCTATGTTTATGCTAGAGAAATAAACCATTCTTTATTCCAGTCACCCCTTTGCTATGTTTATGCTAGAGAAGTAAACCATTCTTTATTCCAGTCACTTTTATTTTTTAAAAAGCAGTGGAGGAAACTTTCTGATCCTTTTACAGCAAGAAACGTACCACTCTCTCAAGCTGGTAATTGTATATCTTTTATTTCCAGGCAAGAATACTTTTTAAAACATTAGAATTTCTCTCTCCATTTGATTTATTTTGTCTGCTAATATACCCAAGTGTATTACTCTGAGCTCCTTCTGGCATGTCACTTGTTTGAGTTGAGGACTATGCACTGGACATACAGGAGAAACATAGCTCAGAATGAGGAAGGGGGGCTGGGAGACCTCACTCTGATTCTCAAGTGAGGGGAAGCCGAGAGCTTGCTATCTTTTTAGCACCAAGATGCTATGAAAACGAGAGCTGCTGTGATTCTTTGATGTTTTCAAGTCCACAGGTCCTCTGCTGTGTGCAAACTTAATTTCATTTGGATAACCAGTTCCTTTTCTCTTGTCCCTTTACCATGTTTCTTCCGGATTTTTTCTAGAACACTCGCCCTTTTCCTTTTTTCATCCACCAGAGAGAGAAGCATTATATTTCCTGCCAAGCTGACAGGTTTCAGAGTACAAGTGTTCTGTCTCATATGAAGACTTCAGCCTTAACATTTCCATTAATGAGGTTGCTGTTACTTTTCTCAGCTTTTACCAAGTATCTGACTTTTATTTTGCTATACTCTATTGGCCTTGAAGGATTTCTCAGTGGCTTAGCAGTGATTAAGGTAATGAAGACACTGCCACAGGTAATTGACTTTTGTTTTCTTGTGACAGAAAAACATTTTCCACTTTTGCTATACATAGCAAGTCCCACAAAAATGAAAACTCAAACCATGATCACATAAAAAAAATTAAAGTGTGAACTAGTTGATGTATATTGGGAAGTTAGCTTTGAAACTCTTTAGCAAGAACTGCATATTGTTTAGGGTACATGCTAAAATTGATTTTTTTTCCCCTGAAAACACTACTCTAGAAGGAATAAAGTATGGTTTATGCTTATATGCCACTGGGGTATGCATGTGAGATTGTATCATGTGAGGCATCCTTTAGGCTAAAGAAAAGATGTTTCTCTGTTAGAAAACAGGATGAGTATATGATTGGATATAATGTAGGCATACTGAGCTACGTCTCATTCAGTACCTAAATAAGACCCTAAACATTCTCAGTCAGAAGCGATTGGCTGTATTTAATTTTTTAAAGTAATAGATGGAATGGACCTTCAGAAAAGTTGACTGTGTAAAGAAATAAGTCAGAAAGCTTAGTATTCAGGTCTAGATGTCATGAATTGACCATCTGGCAGAAATAGAATCCAGCAAAAACGATCTTACATAATTTCCAGGAGAAAATGGTAGGACAGATCTAGGCTCTGGTGGATAAATGGTGGTGAGAAGTATATAACAAATAGTGCTTGTTATTGGAGAAAGTAGTTTTCCCAGCTTCCGAATGTAGTTGACTGCCAAGATTGCATGAATGGAGTGCCTAGTTACGAAGCAACTATTAAGGATTACTTGGGATTGTTTCAGGTAAATCTGCTTTCTAGAATGCAGGCACTTCCTTTGTTGATAGTTTTGGACTTTAAGTTTTTTTTTTTTTTTTTTTTTTAAGGCTGAAAAGTTAATACAGGTTAATTATTCCTTATCTGAAATGCTTGTAACCAGAAAGAAGTGTTTTGGATTTCTGGTTTTTTTGGGGAATATTTGCATTATACTTAACGGTTGAGCATCCCTAATCCAAAAAATCTGAAATCTGAAATGTTCCAATGAGCATTTCCTGTTTAGCAATAGTGTAGTTAAGAACTTGGACTTGGGAGGCAGAGTTGCCATGGTTTGAATACTGGTACTACCACGTACCCGATCTTTCTGTGCCTCAGTTTTCTCGTCTGTAAAATAAGGTAACAATAGTGCCTCGTAGTGTTATGCAGATTAATGAGTTAATGTTTATAAGTAGTCCATAGCACGTAGTTAAGAGCTTGTAAACTGGTTTAGTAACTGAATTGAGCATTGAATTCTGAAGATATCCATCTTCAAAACTTAATAAGCATTATTCCCTCTACATTTTACTTTCATCTCTCTCAATATAGTGTTTTTACTTGGATGTAATCTGTTTAGATGATGGGTTTGTAGAACCATGTTTAAGAAAAGAACTTAAGCACCTAAGTTTTTTCCTTGTGTATATCCCAAACGGATGGGTTGTCGTGTGTGTGGAAGAAGTAAACACATTCTATCCCTAGTTCACCATTCTAGAGCGTTAACTTTTAGAATCGGAAATGATTCACATGAATTAAAACTTCATAAAAATATTTTAAGGACAGTTAAAACCTGGCTATTGGTATAAGCAAACTGGGAAGTCATTAGACTGTAATAAGTTATTACACTTAAGGAAAGATGGCTTGATGGTATACCTCATGTGCATACTATATTTAACAAAATTGTTGCATTTTAGAAAAATTAAGTTTGCTTCTTATTTAGGTGTTTCCTGTTTGAAGGAAGATTCTGAAGATTCTGGAGAATCTCATTCTGTAATTTTGGAGTAGAGCCTAGAAACAAACTTTTTTTTTTAATTAATTAACTTTATTTTCAAGAACATACATACTTTTAACTAACATCCTGGCTGGGCGTGATGGCTCACGCCTGTAATCCCAGCACTTTGGGAGGCTGAGGCGGGCAGATCACCTGAGGTCAGGAGTTTGAGACCAGCCTTATCAAGATGGAGAAACCCTGTCTCTACAAAAAATACAAAATTAGCCGGGCGTAGTGGCGCATGCCTGTAATCCCAGCTACTTGGGAGGCTGAGGCAGGAGAATCGCTTGAAGGGAGCAACTGCCAGGAGGCAGAGGTTGCAGTGAGCCGAGATTGCGCCATTGCACTCCAGACTGGGCAACAAGAGCGAAACTCCGTCTCAAAAAAAAGAAAAAGAAAAAACCCACATGGTTGAGTTAAGGCAGGATTTACTGAGATTAGTGACTCATCCGTCTTCTCCTGAGCTCCAGCTTTCTCATCAACAGAATCAAAAGATTTGACTAGAAACATGATCTACTTTCTAACTCACTACTATGATTTTATTGTTTCTATTTTCCTTATGATTATGATATTAAAGAAGAATTCCACTATGGGTGATGGACTATGGGGTGAGGAAGTGAGTCTTCTGTTTACCACAAAAAATTAATTGAGAAACTTAATGTTTTAATAAAGAAAAAGGCTTTTTTGGGCCGGATGCAGTGGCTCATGCCTGTAACCCCAACATTTTGGGAGGCCAAGGCTGGAAGATTACTTGAACTCCAGAGTTAGAGACCAGCTGGGCAACATGGCAAAACTCCCTCTCTACAAACAATACAAAATTTCACCAGATGTGGTAGCACGTGCCTGTAGTCCCAGGTACTGGAGAGGCTGAGGTTGGTTGATGGCTTGAGCCCAGGAAGCCGAGACTGCAGTGAGCCAAGATGGCACCACCGTACTGCAGCCTGGACAACAGAGCAAGACGCAGTCTCAAAAAAAGAAAAGAAAAGGACTTTCTGACAAAACCGTAAACTTCCAGTAATTATTAGTAATTCAGTTCTATGTGTTGGCAATGGCATGTACTAAAACAACCCAAACGGTGGTAGTATGTTGTCTTTTATATTGTGTGTGTATTTAAAATACTATTGCTATTTTTAAATTCACAGCCTTTAGATTTAACTAGTTTGCTGAAGTTTGAGCAGTTAGAACTTTATAGTATTCATTCTAATCTGTGGTAATTACTTACTTTTGCCAGTTATTCCAGCACCCGAACATAATTGGCCATTTTTCATACATCTGCTTAATAATACCTTTACCAGTTATCACAGTGGCTTGATTTAAGTCCACTTCATGTTCAGTTAGAGAGACATGTCCCACTGGCTACGAGGTCACCATTGTCCAACAACAGAGAATGTCATTCAGCAAATTAGTATTGACTGTCCTATTCTTGACTCAGTAATTTCTTCAGCTGAGAGTAAATGGATAATTGGGGGCTATTAATACACTTATCTGTGGGTGGTTTTTATCCTGAGTCTTCCGCAAACCCATCTTGTGGAAGAATAACTGGTTTTTCTTAAGTTCTACAAAGTGAGGGCCAGTAATTGACATGAGTTGACACTGTTTTTGGTGGGAACTTGGGGGCAGGCCTTCAGAAACAGAAGCAAGATGGTAGTATGGAACACCAAATAGTCTTTTAGACTAATTTAATTTAGTTCCTTGTTTGGAATGTTCATTAATTAACAAATTTCTGTTAAGTAGGGGGTACCTCCAAAGCACCTTTAAGGGTATACAGCTTTTTAAAACTGTTTAATGTATGTGCTATTTTGAATGGTATATTTTACAGATCTAATTGTGGTCCATGGTGTTTAATCTATTTTAGAAACTGGATGGCTTCTACAGGGAGCCAGGCCTCTGATATAGACGAGATTTTTGGATTCTTCAGTGATGGCGCACCCCCCACCAAAAAGCCCAGGTAAACAAGAAAAGGGAATCAGAGAGCAGAGTAAATTACCATTAGTGGGAGAGAAAGAAAAGTAGCCAACTTATACCTTTTATGTCAGTTGTTTTCACTAATCAGTATTGACCTTCATACTAAAAATTAAATTATTTTTATTTTGGATTTAATTTTTATTTTTTATCAAAGGCAATACAGGTACATAGTTTTTAAAATCAGTATTTCAGAGTCCACCCTTCTTCAGAGATAATTACTTTCAGCTTTATCTGTTTCTTCTAATGTTGACATCCATGTTTTAAAATACTATATATATTGCTGCTTTTTAGTTTTTCAGTTCTGTTGATTTCCGAGTATGGAATATAAGGACTGCTTTGCTGTCATGACTCCTCCCCCTGGATTGCCACTCCACACACTCTCCTCATGTTCTTGTATGTTTGTATCACAGTGTTTGGTTCAATCCACTTTTAATATTTACATTTATTATGACTGTATAAATAGTATTCGTAGCTGAGCCTAATGCATGACGATCATATTTCCTTTCTTGCCCATTTTTTTCGCTTATGTCGTTAAAGACTGTCTTTTTTGTTTGTTTGCTTTCAGTGTGTTCTCACATGCTCTGACAGAAGAATAAATCTCCTAGCTGAAACACACCGATAACTTGCTAGTTCATGTCATGGATTCTTCCCTCTGGACACTAGTCCACTCTGGACACTTGTTTTCCAGGCCTCTGTTGCATTGCTGATACTTGCTATTTCCCTTTCCCATCGTCCTGATAATTTCCTTTACATCTCTCCTGTATTGATTCTCTGTTTGCTGAATCTTGTGTCTTCTTTTTTGGTGCACTCTTTCATTTTCCTGAAGCGTATCCTTGCATAGCCTCCTAAAGTAAGGACCCATAGGAGAAAACTTTTTGGACGTATTTGAAAATGTCTTTATCACACACTTACATTCATTTGATGGTTTAGCTGAGTATAGAATCTTTGGTATCTCTCATGCATTCTCTGCTAACATCTAAGTATTCCTGCCAAAATAGCCACTCTGTTCTGATTCCCAATCCTTTGTATTATATGACCTCTTTCCTTGTTTTGTTTTTGTTTTTGTTGTTGTTGTTCATTAGAAGCTTATAAAGATCATTATTTTATTTTCAGTAGCCTGAAATTTCACAGTGATGTGTCTTCTCATACGAATCTGGACACGGGGCAGCTCTTTAAAGCTGGCAACTAGTACCTTCACTTTGGAGAAGTTGACTTGTATTACTTTTTTGATACTTTCCATTACAATGTTTTATCTACTCCGTATTTTTTTTAAACTCTTGTTATTCAGATATTAGACTTCTTGTATTAAGTCTCTAATTTTCTTACGTGTTTCTTGATTTTTTTCCCCCATTTCGTGTTTTAAAATTTTGCTTTCTCGGAGGTTCTCTGTTTTATCTTATGGATTTAAACATTTCTGTTGCTATATTTTTAATTTGTGAAGTCTTCCTGTTTGTTCATTTTTCATAGCACTCTGTTTCACAGATGCATTTTTTTTTTTTTTTGAGATGGAGTCTCACTCTGTTGCCCAGGCTGGAGTGCAATGGTGCAGTCTCAGCTCACTGCAACTTCTGCCTCCCAGGTTCAAGCAATTCTCCTGCCTCAGCCTCCTGAGTAGCTGGGATTGCAAACGTGCACTACTACACCCAACTAATTTTTATTTTATTTTTTAAATAAAGACAGGGTTTCACCATGTTGGCCAGGCTGATCTTGAACACCTGACCTTAAGTGATCCACCTGCCTCGGCCTCCCAAAGTGCTGGGATGACAGGCATGAGCCACCCCACATGGACAATGTTTAAAAATCTATGTGAGGATGTCATTGTTTCCTTTTAAAATTTTTTTCTCCTTCCCATACTATCTCTTGTGTCCTTCAGATTTCTCTCTACCTGCTAGTTTGTTTGGTATAACTGTTATGTCGGGGGCTTTCCTCAAATGTGAGGTGACCCTTGTTTGCCCATTTTTAAGAGAAAACACTAAAAAGCCAATGGAAGAGGCCGGGCGCGGTGGTTCACGCCTGTAATCCCACCACTTTAGGAGGCCAAGGCGGGCAGATCATTTGAGGTCAGGAGTTTGAGACCAGCCTGGCCAACCTGGTGAAACCCCATCTCTACTAAAAATACAAAAATTAGCTTGGCGTGGTAGTGCGTGTCTGTAGTCCTAGCTACTCAGGTTGCTGAGGCAAGAGAATCGCTTGAACCCGGGAGGCGGAAGTTGCAGTGAGCCGAGATTGTGAGATTCCGTCTCAAAAAAAAAAAAAAAAAAAAGCCAATTGGAGAATCTGCGTGTACGTGAGGAGCTTGGTCCCAGACTCTACGTAGAGTTAAGGAATTCTCACCTATCAGAATCTGCAGGTTTTTCATCTCATACTGGCCATTTTCCTGAAAGAGGAATCCTCCTCATTTCCTAACTGGATGGGGGATAGGGATTCCTCATTTCCTTACTGAATGGGGGATAGGGATTCCTCATTTCCTTACTGAATGGGGGATAGGGATTCCTCATTTCCTAACTGGATGGGGGATAGGGATTCCTCATTTCCTAACTGAATGGGGGATACGGGTGCAGGTACAGGGTTGATTCCTAGAGTCTGAAAAGCTGCCTCTGGGGAAAAGTCTGTGTATAAAATATAAGATTTCCCCCAACTCTCTTTCCCCAGAGGCAGCCTCAGCTGCGTGCAGTGTTCTCAGATACAGTCCTCTGGTCAACCTCTGCAGAAGGGAAACCTCTAGTCTGCTTAAAGTTGCAACCCTTAAAGGCTTGTAACCGATTCTCCTGTTTTAGCCCCACCAGTCCCTCTACCTTCAGATGTATGTGAACATTCCCAAAATTCTACCAAGGGACTCAGCCTTTGCATTACAACTTGTAAAATTCTGTTGCCCTTTGACCTCTGTTGTCTGCTGTCATCTTTACCTAACCTACTTTTTAGGTATGTATACCTGCTAAAAAAAAAAAATAATAATAACTGTTATTTAGTGGTTTACAAAGAACCGGTAATAAAACACAGTTGTTAAATGTTTTGTTTTTAACTGGAAGTTTTTTTTTTTTTTTTTTTTTTTTGAGACAGGGTCTTGTTCTGTCACCCAGGCTGGAGTGCAGTGACACAAACACAGCTCACTGTAACCTCCACCTCCTGGGCTCAAGTGATCCCCCTGTGAACTTAGCCTCCCACTTAGCTGCGACATGCCTAATTTTCTTTTTCTTTTCTTTTCTTTTTTTTTTTTTTGGTAGAGATGGGTTCTCACTAAGTTGCCTAGGCTGATCTTGAACTCCTGGGCTCAAGCTCAGCCTCCTAAAGTGCTGAGATTACAGGCGTGAACCACTACACTTAGCTGAATTGAAAGTCTTAATTAGGAAGAATTATAGTTTGAATCTATATGTTATATATTTAAAAAATCATACAGTACAACAGTATAAAATGAAAAAAGTCCTTATTCTCCCCATCCTCATTTAACCACTGTTTATAGATCTTGTGAATCCTAGAAATTTTCTGTGTGCATGTATATTTGTGTATGTGGATTTGTGTATGCTTCACTATCTTGATTGCTCTGAACTGAAACTCATTTTTCATCATTTGCTTCTAACATCTATTTTTAATGTCTTTTTTAGTAGACTAACCTTTCAAGATCAGGGACTCCATTTTGTTCCTGGATACATCACTAGTGACTCCTGTACTGCCTGGTACATACAGGTTTTTCTTTCCTGCCTCAGCCTCCCGAGTAGCTGGGACTACAGGTGTGCGCCACCAGACCCAGCTAATTTTTGTATTTCTAGTAGACACAGAGTTTCACCATGTTGGCCAGGCTGGTCTTGAACTCCTGACCTCAAGTAATCCACCCACCTTGGCCCCCCAAAGTGCTGGGATTACAGGCGTGAACCACTGCCCCCGGCCTCGGTTTTTCGTGTTTGTTGAATGACTAAATGCAGAAGCTCAGAATAGGGAAAGCAGTTTTAGAGGCTGTGTCCCCAAAACGAAGCTTCCCAAGGCTTGAAAGTGCTGTTCCTTTCTTGGGTTATGGCAAAATGCTGATCCTCTCCATTTTATTATTTAGATAGAAAGGTTGGGGAGAATCCGTTTTCGGGGGAAGGGAACATACCATCAGCAAAAATTAAAGTGAAGGAACATATTTCAAGCGGGGATAGTCTCCAGAATGAAAGAGAGGGAAACAAAAACAAAAACTAGCAGCCATGCTCTCTCACATATGGGCCTCAGAACAGAGAAGTCTGTCTCTGCTTATCATGGTAAGAAAGGAATGTTTTTCACCTTTTGTCATGTCCCTTGAATAGCTAAGTCTTTATTTAGATATATAGGGCTCCTGTGTTTTTAGAATTCTATTGGCCACTTTTTTTTTTTTTTTTTGCCTGAGGTTAATGTTTACAAAATTCCGAGTTAAATTTTTTATTGCCTTTCTTTCCCCTTGTGTTTTACATTTCTCAATAATAGGAACTTAATTTGTCCTGGGGTTCTTTTCTCTTTTTCTAGAGTACAAATCAAATGTCTTCTTTTGAAATTTAATATTGGTTTAAAATATAATTTAGTTGGCAGAACTCAGCTGAGCTGTAATCTATTTGGATCTTTTCCTAATATTAGTGGAATTTCTCAGGTTGAGAGGACTAAGAAGGAGAAAACTGATTTTAAGATTGGTTTTGGGATTCCTGAAATAGGTTTATGACTTGTTTTTCAGCAAGCACTGACATAATATTCTGGTTGTTTTCTTTAAACTGCTTTGGAAAAGTGTCAAAAACTGCTATTGATCTTTGCAACTATAAAAGTTAGCTAAAAACTATAACCTTAGTCAGACAGTCTCTGTGCCTCATATCTATGGGATGTTCCAGTCCTCTCATTTGTTTTGCTTTTATAGGAAGCTGCTTCCAAGCTTAAAAACTAAGAAGCCTCGAGAACTTGTGCTAGTGATTGGAACAGGCATTAGTGCTGCAGTTGCACCTCAAGTTCCAGCCCTCAAATCCTGGAAGGGGTTAATTCAGGCTTTACTGGATGCTGCCATTGATTTTGATCTGTTAGAAGATGAGGAGAGCAAAAAGTTTCAGAAATGTCTCCATGAAGACAAGAACCTTGTCCATGTTGCCCATGACCTCATCCAGAAGCTGTCTCCTGTGAGTACCTTCTTATGTGCCACAGTGTTTGGAATTTCCTAAAATTTGACTATCATAACTAGCATGATTTGGCTGTCACAACTAGCATGCCAAGTGTAGCAGGGATATTCATTTACAGCTTGTAGGTTTCCATAACATTGGGCTCTTCTGCACAGTGTCTATTTATGGACCCTATTCAGGGTAATTATCTTAACCCCATTTCACTGTGTGTCTCTGAGAGAGAAATGATGTTGAGGACTTTATATGTACAAATCACCGCTGTGTTTTGAATTTATTTTTTTCTGCATCACTACTATAAAAGCTGTGTTCTGTGGCATCCATGCCTTGTATGGAATCCCACAAAGATTGGAGATAATTTTGTCATTTTATAGATGAAACAAAACCAGTTTTTAATGTTCTTTTTAGAGGTAATAACTCAAAATATTTATAAGGAATTGCACCTTATTTTACCAAACTGAGTTGGATAAAAGGACTCCCTGTCTTGCTTTGTCTAAATTTTTTTTTTTTTACAGAGTCTACCTCTGTCACCCAGGCTGAAGTTCAGTGGTTCGATCTCAGCTCACTGCAGCATCTGCCTTCTGGGTTCAAGCGATTCTCCTGTCTCAGCCTCCTGAGTAGCTGGGATTACAGGCATGTGCCACCACGCCCAGCTAATTTTTGTATTTTTAGTAGAGACAGGGTTTTGCCATGTTGGTCAGGCTGGTCTCGAACCCCTGACCTCAAGTGATCTGCCTGCCTCAGCCTCACAAAGTGCTGGGATTATAGGCGTGAGCCACTGCGCCCAGCCTGTTTTAAAACTTTCTTAAAAATCAGGCTTCTAGAGCCAGGCATGGTGTGGTGGCAGGCGCCTGTAATCCCAGCTGCTCAGCAGGCTGAGGCAGGAGAATGACTTGAACCCAGGAGGTAGAGGTTGCACTGATTTGAGATCACGCCACTGCACTCCAGCCTGGGCGATAGAGGAAGACTCCATCTCAAATTTTTTAAAAAAAGGAATTAATGGGGTTTTAAAGAGTTCATGGAATCTCCACCTCATACCGTTTACAAAAATTAAAAATGGATCAAAGACCTAAATATGATGTCTAAAACTGTAAAACTCTTAGAAGAAAATACAGATTTAAAATTTCATGACTGAATCTGAGTGGTTTTTCAGACATGACACCAAAAACGCAAAAACCAAAGTGAAAAAAATATATAGATAAACTGGACTTCTCCAAAGTTTAAAAACTGTTAGGCTGAAAGGACACTGTCAAGAAAGTGAGCTGGGGATGGTGGCTTATGCCTATAATCCCAGAACTTATACCTATAAGGCCAGAGCAGGAGAACTGCTTGAGGCCATGAGTTCAAGACCAGCCTGGACAACGTAGTGAGACCTGTCTCTACCAAAAGGAAAAAAAAAAAGTGAAAAGACAACTCCCAGAATGAGAAAATGTTAGCAAATCACATATCTGTTAGGGGTATAATAGCCAGTATCTATAAAGAACTATTGTAACTTAATAAAGGCTAATAATTCAATTTTAAAATAACAATGTAGTTGTTAGACATTTCTGCAAAGAAGACACACAAATGGCCAATAAGCGTACACGGAAAGATGTTCAGCATCATTAGTCATTAGGAAAATACAAATCAAAACCACAAAAAGGTGCCATTTCACACCCGCTAGGATGACTAGAATCAAGAATACAATAATGAGTGTTATTAAGGATGTGGAGAAATTGGAACCCTTGTGGGAATGTAATGTGATGCAGTTGCTTTGGAAAACAGATTGACAGTTCCTCAAAAAGTTCAACAGTGATTCTATGACCCAGCAGTTACACTCGTAAGTGTATACCCAAGCGAATGGAAAGCATATTCATGCAACAACTGTACACTCATGTTCATAGCAACATTATTCATAGCAGCCAAAATAGTGGAAACAACTCAAATGTCTAGCTCATGAATGGATAAACAAAACGTCCTTCCATGCAATGTTAATTGGCCATAAAAAGGAATGAAGTACTGGTCCATACAACAACATGGATGAACCTTGAAAACATTAAGTAAAAGAAGCCAGACACTAAAGGACATATATTGTATGATTCCATTCATATAAAAGGTCCAGAACAGGTAAATCCATAGAACAGAAAGTAGATTATTGCTTGACAGGGCTAGAGGAAATTCTTCCCAAACTACTCTAAAAATAGAGTAGGAGGGAGTACCTCCAACTCATTGTATGAGGCCAGTATTATCCTGATAACAAAACCAAACAAAAGACATCAGAAGAAATGAAAATGACCAAATGCAGTGGTTCACGACTGTAAGCCCAACACTTTGGAAGGATGAGGCATAAGCATCACTTGAACCCTGGAGTTCAAGACTCCACTGAGCTATAATCGTGCTACTGTACTCCAGTCTTGGCGACAGAACAAGACCCTGTCTGCCTCTAAAAAAAAAAAAAGAAAGAAAACTACCAACCGGGATCTCTTAGGAACATGGACACAAAAATCCTCAACAAAAAACAAACTACAACCAGACTGAATGCAGTACCCATGAGGAAGTCAGAGTCTTCTGGGGAATGAAAAGTTGGTTTAACATCTGCATATCAGGCCAGGCGCGGTGGCTCACACCTGTAATCCTAGCACTTTGGGAGGCCGAGGTGGGCGGATCACTTGAGGTTAGGTTAGGAGTTCAGGAGCAGCCTGACCAACATGGCAAAACCCTGTCTCTACTAAAAATACAAAAATTAGCTGGGCATGGTGGTGCATGGCTGTAATCCCAGCTATCCAGGAGGCTGAAGCAGGAGAATTGCTGGAACCCGGGAGGCAGGGGCTGCAGTGAGCCAAGATCACACCACTGCACTCCAGCCTGGACGACAGAGCAAGACTCCGTCTCAAAAAAAAAAAAAAAACTGCACATCAATATAATATATCATGTCAATAGAATAAAAGAGAAAACCACATGGTTTTCTCAGTAGGTGCAGAAAAAACATGTTAGCAAAATGTAACACTCTTTCATGATTAAAAAAAAAACACTCTACAAATGAAGGAATAATAGCAAACAATAGAAGGAAACTACCTCAACATGGTAAAGACCATATATGAAAAACTCACAGATATCATATTTAATGGTGAAAGACTGGATTTTTTCCACTAAGATCAGCAACAAGACAAGGCTGTGTTCCCACTCCACTCCTGTCCAACATAGTGCTGGATGTTCTAGACCCGGCAATTAAGCAAGAAAAATAAAAGGAATCTATATCGGAAAGGAAGAAGTAAACTGCCTCTGTTTGCAGACGACATGATCTTGTCTATAGAGAATCCTAGGTTATCCTCTATTAGAACTAACAAGTCCAGCAAGGTTGGAGAATCCAGGATCAATATATTAAAAAATAATATTTTTATACACTTGCAGTGAACAATACTAAAATGAAATATTAAAAATTCTTCCACTTAGCATCAAAAACAATAAAATAACTAGGAATAAATTTAACAAAAGAAGTGCAGAAGGCCGGGCGCGGTGGCTCACGCCTGTCGTCACACACTTTGGGAGGCCAAGGCGGGTAGATCACCTGAAGTCAGGAGTTTGAGACCAGCCTGGCCAACATGGTGAAACCCCGTCTCTACTAAAAATACAAAAATTAGCTGAGCATGGTGGCGGGCACCGATAATCCCAGCTACTCGAGAGGCAGAGGCAGGAGAATGACTTGAACCTGGGAGGCGGAGCTTGTAGTGAGCTGAGATCCGGCCACTGCACTCCAGCCTGGGCGACAGAGCGAGACTCCGTCTCAAAAAAAAAAAAAAAAAAAAAAAAAAAAAAAACTAGCCGGGCGAGGTGGCGGGCGCCTGTAGTCCCAGCTACTCGGGAGGCTGAGGCAGGAGAATGGCGGGAACCCGGAAGGCGGAGCTTGTAGTGAGCTGAGATCCGGCCACTGCACTCCAGCCTGGGCGACAGAGCGAGACTCCGTCTCAAAAAAAAAAAAAAGAAAACTACGAAACATTGAAAGAAATGAAAGAAGATGTAAATAAATGGAAAGACATGCCATGTTCATGAATCAGAAGACTTAATATTATTAAGATGGAATACTCTGCAAATTGGTCTACAGATTAAGCACAATCCCTATTAGGATCCCAGCTGCTGATTTTGTAGAAATTGACAAACTGATTTAAAATTCATATAGAGCCAGGCACCATAGCATGCACCTGTAGTCCCAGCTACTTGGGAGGCTGAGGCAGGAGGACTGCTGGAGGGCTTGAGCCCAGGAGTTGTGGGCTCCCAGGAGCAGGGGACCACTGGGTTGCCTAAGGTGGGGTGAACCAACACAGATTGGAAATGGAGCAGGTCAAACTCCTATGCTGATCAGTAGTGGGATTGTGTCTTTGAATAGCCACTGCACTCTAGCCTGGGCAACATAGTAAGACCCTGTCTCTAAAAAAACAAAAAATTAAAACTTCATATGGAATTATAAGGGACCTAGAGTAGCCAAGACAGTCTTGAAAAATAACAAAGTAGGGAGACTCAAATTTTTTTTATTTCAAAGCTTACTACAAAGCCATGTAATTAAGGCAGCATGGCAAAGGATTCTTAGATCAGACACTGAAAGCACAAGCAACAGAAGAAAAGTAGATAAATTGGACGTGATGAGAATTTGAAACATAAGTGCTGTAATGGTTGTCATCAAGAAAGTGAAAAGAGAGCCAGGCACAGTGGCTTGCTCCTGTAATCCCAACTATTTGGGAGGCTAAGGTAGGAGGATCATTTGATCCCAGGAGTTCGAGGCTGCAGTCAGCTATAATCATGTCATTGTACCTCAGCCTGGGCAACACAGTGATACCCCCGTCTCTAAAAAAGAAAAAAAAATGAAAAGAGAACCTACAGAATGGAGGAAAATATTTGTAGATCATATTTGACAAAAATCTAGTATCCAGAATATATAAAGAGCTATTACAACTTAATAATAAAATTGATATATTTAGGGGAAATTTGAACACTAATATTAAGGAAGTAATATTTTTTAGGTGAGATAGAAGTATTGCAGTTATGTTTTGTTTTGTATGTACTCTTCTAACTTGTGTGTGTGTTTGGAAATGTCCATATTAGAAAAGAATCAAATCTAACAGTATCAACTCAGCAGTACTATGGCAGGGTTAACAGGCCCATCTACTGAGCCAGTTTAACGTATACCAGGGAAGTGACGTTACAGATTCACTGCAAAGAGCTTGGGTTTTACAGTCAGACTCTGTCACTTCCATGCACTGGAACCCTGCACAAATCCCTTGTCAACATCTGTTTTTGCACCTGTGAAACCGTGATGTTACTTCCTTGTGTCGCTTTGTGAAGAATAGGTGAGATAATGTATATAAAATGTCTCGCACATAGTTGATGCACTAGAAATGTTAATAACCCTGTGGGAGAAAACAGGGTTTGTTTTTTGTTTTGTTTTTTGGGTTTTTTTTCTTTTTTTAAATAGAGATGGAGTCTCCCTGTGTTGCCCAGACTGGTGTTGAACTTCTGGGCTCAAGCCATCTTTCTGTTTCAGCTTCCCAAAAACTGAGATTACAGGCTTGAGCTACCACGCCAATTTTTTGTTTCTTGTTTTTACTAAGTTTCAGGGTAGAAGGAAATGAAGGTCACTGTTTCAGATGAATGGGAAAAGGTCCTTAGAAGTTGTGTGGGAGTTTGGCATTTCCTTTTAACTACTGAGCCTCTCTGTTTATGTTTTCATTCCTTTGTCTTTGCTTATAAAGGCCACTGGTGGGAAGTTTAGTTCTGGGGTCATCTGCTTTAAGAGAAAAAACTTTCCAGCTATGCAACAAAGCAGGACCCCTTACCTCTACAAAAATTTTTAAATTAGCCTAGTGTGGTGGTGCACGCCTGTGGCCCCACCTATACAGGAGGCTGAGGCAAGAGGATCACTTGAGGCCAGAAGTTTGAGAACAGCTTGGGAAACAGTGAGACCCCATCTGTAGAAAAAAATTTAAAAAGTAGTAGGCATGGTGGTGTGCGCCTGTAGTCCTAGCCACTTGAGAGACTGAGGGCAAGAAGCTTGCTCGAGCCCAGCAGGTCGAGGCTGCAGTGAGCCATGTTCATGCCACTGTACTCCAGCTCGGTGACAGAGCCAGACCTTGTCTCAAAAGAGACAAACTTCTGTTTTGCATCTGAGGAAATCAGTGCAGTTACAAAAGTATGTTTCCTTCCTATGTTGATATGTAGGATTTAATAACTTAAATAGGACTAAAAGATATTTAACTGAGTGACTTGGATTTTTTTTTTCCCCCAGGTTTTAACCTTTTGTATTCTTTTTCTTAGAAGCAAGAAAATATGTTCCACACCCATGATTACGTGATTGTATACCCAGGCCTTTTTATCTGTGTGTATAATAATAAAACTGGTGTTAAAATATAGTATGTATTTGCCGGGTGCAGTGGCTCACGCCTGTAATCCCAACACTTTGGGAGGCCGAGGCGGGTGGATCACAAGGTTAGAAGTTCAAGACCAGCCTAGCCAACATGGTGAAACCTGTCTCTACTAAAAACACAAAAAGTTAGCCGGGCATGGTGGCAGGCACCTGTAGTCCCAGCTACTCGGGAAGCTGAGGCAGGGGAATTGCTTGAACCCAGGAGGTGGAGGTTGCAGTGAGCCAAGACTGTGCCACTGCACTCCAGCCTGGGCGACAGAGAGAGACCCCATCTCAAATAAATAAATAAATAAATATATATATATGTATGTGTGTATGTGTATATATATAATGTATTGATAATGTGTGTCTGTGAGTCAGAGTACAAAAGTTATAAAACACAGGATTCTTAATAAGAAAACCAAGGAAGTGACTGTATTCTTAATTTTAAATTTAATATTTTTTTTGAATAGGTATTGTTTATACACATTGCAGAAGTCAAAACACTATTTAAAAAGTGTCATATATTGAGACGTCTTACTCCCATGCAGATCTTTATCTTTCTCTTCTCTCAAAACCCACCTTTCATAGGTCACTACTCTTACAAGTCTTTCTGTATACCCTTCCAGTGTTTCTTTTTGGAAATACAAGCAAGAAGGACTATATTTATTCTTATCTTACGACCTCTATCCCCTAGCTCAAAAGATGGCATTCTAGACATACTATTCTGCAGTTTGTTTTACTTCACAGTATAACTTAAGGATCTTTCCATCTCATTCTCCTGTATGTGGGTACTTGGCCATACTAGTCTCTTATGTATGGATACATGGCTTGTTTCCAGTCTTCTGCTGTTACAAATAATGATGCAGTCGGCCAGGCACGGTGGCTCATGCCTGTAATGCCAGCACTTTGGGAGGCTGAGGCGGGTGGATCATGAGATCAGGAGATCAAGACCATCTTGGCTAACACAGTGAAACCCCATCTCTACTAAAAATACAAAAAATTAGCTAGGCGTAGTGGCACGCACCTGTAGTCCAAGTTACTCGGGAGGATGAAGCAGGAGAATCACTTGAACCGGGGGGGCAGAGGTTGCCGTGAGACGAAATTGCGCCATTGCCCTCCAGGCTGGGCGACAGAGCGAGACTCCATCTCAAAAAAAAAAAAAAAAAAAAAAGATGCAGTGATAACCTTGTATGTGTCATTTCATTTGTTTGAAATTGTATTTGTAGAATACATGCGACTGCTAGATCATAGGGCAAATGGATTTGTGATTTGGGTAGACATGAAAAGAGCGCCATATTTTTTATAACAAATCTAAAAAAGTATCTGGCCTTCAATCGTAGTTGACTTTTTTTTTTTTTGAGACGGAGTTTTGCTCTTGTCGCTCAGGCTGGAGCACAATGGCGCGATCTCGGCTCACTGCAACCTCTGCCTCTCACATTCAAGTAATTCTCCTGCCTCAGCCTCCCAAGTAGCTGGGACTACAGGCACGCACCACCACGGCCAGCTAATTTTTGTGTTTTTAGTGGAGACGGGGTTTTACCATGTTGGCCAGGATGGTCTCGATCTCTTGACCTTGTGATCCGCCTGCCTTGGACTCCCAGAGTGCTGGGATTACAGGCGTGAGCCACCACGCCTGGCCCAGACACACTTATAACTGACACACCTAGAATAACAAATCCACTGCTGCAATAATGACATTAATCAATTCATGGAGGCACGGCCCTCGTGACCTAATCATCTCTTACTAGGCCTCACCTCCCAACACAGTTCCATTGGGGTTAAGTTTCCAACACATGAACTTTAGGGGACCAGTTCAAACCCTAGCAAATGGCATTTCACAGACAGGCTAGATAGAGATCAGATATTTATTACATCACATTACATAGTTACTTTCCCATTTCGAATTCCCTCCGTCCCAAGGGCCACTTTTTGTTTTTAGTTGTAAAGCCAGCTTCCCACCTGAAGTTGGTGCTATAGTTCGTCATTAGTACTCAGGGATATTTACATGTGTTCAAAATGAATCTGAAAAGCAGTTATTTAAGTAAACCATATGTTAAGAAATAGGAGGTCTGGAAAAGTGGCTCATACCCATAATCCCAACACTTTGGGAGGCTGAGGTAGGAGGACCACTTGAGACCCCAGGAATTCAAGATCCGCCTGGGCAACATAGCCAGATCTCACATCTGCAAAACAAGACATGGAGATTCTGTTTAGAATTGATTGGTGTTTGATGTTTTTAACAGTTGCAAAATGCAAACTTTTAATTTAAAAAAATATATATTGTTTATGTTAACCTTTTGTATACTGGATATTCTTCAGAATAAACCTATGAACTGCTGATTTATGGCATGTAGAAGTTAAGCGGTTTTTCCTAAATTCATAAACAGCTGTACAAACACCTAGGATTAGAAAAGAAGATGCTGAGGCTGGGCGCGGTGGCTCACACCTGTAATCCCAGCACTCTGGGAGGCTGAGGTGGGTGGATCACGAGGTCAGGAGTTCAAGACCAACCAAAAATTGGCCGGGTGCGGTGGCTCAAGCCTGTAATCCCAGCACTTTGGGAGGCCGAGACGGGCAGATCATGAGGTCAGGAGATCGAGACCATCCTGGCTAACACAGTGAAACCCCGTCTCTACTAAAAAAATACAAAAAACTTGCCGGGCGAGGTGGCGGGCACCTGTAGTCCCAGCTACTCGGGAGGCTGAGGCAAGAGAATGGCGTAAACCCAGGAGGCGGAGCTTGCAGTGAGCTGAGATCCGGCCACTGCACTCCAGCCTGGGCGACAGAGCGAGACTCCGTCTCAAAAAAAAAAAAAAAAAAATACAAAAATTAGCTGGGCGCAGTGGCAGGTGCCTGTAACCCCAGCTACTTGGGAGGCTGAGGCAGGAGAATTGCTTGAATCCGGGGGGGCAGAGGTTGCAGTGAGCCGAGATCATGCCACTGCACTCCAGCCGGGGTGACAGAACGAGACTCTGTCTCAAAAAAAAAAGAAAAGGAGATGCCAAACCACAACTGGGCTGTGTTTCAGTGGTGCTTCCCTAAATAAGGAAAGATGAACAGAAAGTGTTGCCTTCTTACCTGGCACCTAATGAGAGGGTAGTTGTTGCTCTGCTTTCTACCCCAGCTTCCCTTTAATACCGACAGTAAATCCCTTGGCCATGTTTATTTTCTTCATTCTGTAAAAATGCCTATTTTAGGAAGGTTACGCTTGTTTGCATAAGTAGCACTTGCTATGTAGCACTTGCTATAGTAGCACTTGCTATGTGCTAAGCATGTTGCTAAGCACTTGGCATGTATCATCTGATTACGTTCTTATGAGATAGATAATATTTTATCTCTGTTTTGAATCCAAAATATTCTTCAAAAATTTGTTACTGCTGTAACTAAAACAACTGACCTACCAAAGCACCTTGGACTAATTTTCTTTTTTCAAATCCCTCCTCAGCGTACCAGTAATGTTCGATCCACATTTTTCAAGGACTGTTTATATGAAGTATTTGATGACTTGGAGTCAAAGATGGAAGACTCTGGAAAACAGTTACTTCAGTCAGTTCTCCACCTGATGGAAAATGGAGCCCTCGTATTAACTACAAATTTTGATAATCTCCTGGAACTGTATGCAGCAGATCAGGGGAAACAGCTTGAATCCCTTGACCTTACTGATGAGAAAAAGGTAAAAAGTAAAGCATTGGTCCTTTCTTCAGGCTAGTGGATTGTATCTTCATCAGAAAAGCTGTTTTCTGCTTGGCATATTGGTATTCATGTAGAGCTAGAAAGGAAAATTATTTTCCCTGGTTGGATTTTTTGTTTTTCTTTCTTTTCTTTTTAAAGATCAAATCAATATACAGTAAAATGCATACAACTTAAAAAGTATTCAGTTCTATGACTTTTGACAATTCCACCCAGTTTTAAAACAAGATTAGTGGAAGTCATTTGAACTGTAAGATCTCTTTAGCACTCAACAATATTGAGTGGTGTAATATTGATAATGCTGGTTCTGTTTTCGTATACTTTTTTTTATGGCATCTATTGGAAACGTATGAAAACTACTTTATACTGATTGGAAGAACAACTTCCAGGCCAAGTGATGGCTGAATTGAGGTTAATGTTTAGTGAAAACCGCAGCAGACTTTGTTTTAGCATAGTCTGTACTGTACCTACCGTAATTATTGAACTACAGATGTTGATCTGTGTCAGCTAATGAGATGAGTTCTTAAAGTCTCATTTGTCCTACTCTGTGATTTTTGTAATTTTTTTCTACACTTTGTTTTCCTCAGAAATCTGCCTTTATGTCCAATTTAGAGCCCAACTAAGTAGAGCTGAATAGAAGAGTGATTTGCCCGCTGGCATTCAGTACTACAGTATTGCCCCTGCCAGAGTGGTAGCTGTAATACCGCTCTTGTGGTTTTGCTGACCTTGATGGCAGGACTTAAAGGGAACTGAATTTAGAGAAAAGTTGCCCCATGAAGACTAGTTCTCTCTGGCCCAAGTGTCTTCCGCTTACTCCCTCATATTCCACATGGTCAGCTCCTTCTTCATTTGTAACTCTCAACCTAGGGATCCCCTCCTGAGAGACCTTCTCTGACCATCCTATTTAAATTGGATACTTAGTTTTTGATCCAGTCTCTTGTCCATTTCCTTTGTAGCACTTACTATAACTTGCAGCTTTTTGGTTTTTTGTTTTGTTTTGTTTCGTTTTGTTTTTTGAGATAGTTTCGCTCTTGTTGTCCCAGGTTCAAGCGATTCTCCTGCCTCACCCTCCCGAGTAGCTGGGATTACAGGCATGTGCCATCACTCCCGGCTAATTTTATATTTTTGGTAGAGACGGGGTTTCTCCATGTTGGTCAGGCTGGTCTCAAACTCCCGACCTCAGGTGATCTGCTGATCTCAGCCTCCCAAAGTACTGGGATTACAGGCATGTGCCTGGCCTTTTTTTTTTTTTTTGAGATGGAGTCTCGCTCTGTCGCCCGGGCTGATGCAGTTGCCGGATCTTCAGCCGCACTGCAAGCTCCCCCGCCTCCGGGTTCACGCCATTCCCTGCCTCAGCCTCTGCCGAAGTAGCTGGGCACTGACAGCGGCACCGCCACCTCGGCCCCGGCAATTTTTATATTTTTTTAGTAGAGATGGTGTTCACCGTGTTACGCCAGGATGGTCTCAATCCCCCTGACCTCCGTGATCCACCTGTCTTGGCCTCCCAAAGATGCTGGGATTACCAGGCTGAGCCACCCGCCCCGCTTTTTTTTTTTTTTTTTTTGAGGTGGAATTTGCTCTTGTCGCCCAGGCTAGAGTGCCAATGGCGTGACTCTCAACTCCACTGCTAACCTCCTCCTCCCGGGTTCAAAGCGATTCTCCTGCCCTCACCTCCCAATAGCTGGGATTACAGGCATCTGCCACCATGGCCTCCTAGATTTCTTGGTATTTTCAGTAGAGACGGGGTTTCATGATTTTGGCCAGGCTGGTCTCGAGCTCCTGACCTCAGGTGATCTGCCCACCTTGGCCTTCCGAAACGCTGGGATTACAGGCGTGAGCCACCATGCCCAGCACAGTTTTTATCTTGGCTGTTTATCTGTTTTCTGACTGTTTACCCCATAGGAATAGTAACTTCACTTGGACAGGTATCATGTTAGTCTTTCTTATCCTCATAGCTCAGATAAAACCCTCATGTTTCAAATATGACAGAGTTAGGTGCTTGGTAAATATTTTTTTGATTAATAAATGATTAGGCTGGGCACAGCGGCTCAGGCCTATAACCCCAGCACTTTGGGAAGCTGAGGTGGGAGGGTCACCTGAGCCTAGTTCGAGATGAGCCTGGGCAACATAGCAAGACCCCATCTCTACAAAAAGTTTAAAAATTAGCTGGGCATGGTGGTGTTTGCCTGTGGTCCCAGCTGCTTGGGAGGCTGAAGCAGGAGGATCAATTGAGCTGAGGAGGTCGAGGCTCCAGTGAGTTGTGATCGCACTCTTGCACTCCAGCCTGGGTGACAGCGTAAAATCATGTCTCAAAAATAAATAAATAGGCTGGGCACAGTGGCTCACGCCTGTAATCCCAGCACTTTGGGCGGCCGAGGTGGGTGGATCACTTGAGGTCAGGAATTTGAGACCAGACTGTCCAACATGGTGAAACCCTGTCTCTACTAAAAATACAATAACTAGCTGGGAATGGTTGTGCACACCTGTAATCCCAGTTACTCAGGAGGCTGAGGCAGGAGAATCGCTTGAACCCAGGAGGCAGAGGTTACAGTGAGCCAAGATTGCGCCACTGCACTCCAGCCTGGGCGACAGACCAAGACTCTGTCTAAAAATAAACAAACAAACACATGATTGAAATTTTAAAACTAGCAGCTCAAGTAGCTTCTATGCTGTTTGTGATAAAATTTCCAAAGATTATGACCAAGTATGTGCATGGATATCAGAAGCATAAGGACCTTTTAAAAGCTGAGGATATCTATCACATTTGATGTTTTCCTTCTTATTTCATCCTTGGGCCTCAAGATTTGCATTGTATTTTCAGCCCACATTAGGGGCAGTGTTGCAGTCTAATGGTTAAAGACAATGACTGGTAGTCAGAATGGGGCCTAGTAACATTCGAATTCTAAATCTCTGTGCCTCTTGACTACTTTCCTGATTCATAGCCTATTTCTCCAAAAGGTGATAAGGATAAATGTATGCTGTCTCCAGTCCTTGGGAAAATGGAGCCCTGGAATCAGGTGGCTATTGCATTCACTGTCGTCTACATGATTGTTCTTCGCTGGCAGCCTTTTAGGTTCCTCAGAGGTGACTGAAGTGATTTTTCTATCACTTATCTATTGCTGTACAAGTAATGGCCCTGAAACTTTGTGGCTTATAACAACAAATATCTTGTCTGCCCATGATAAAGTCCATTAACAATTTGAACTGGGCTCAGTGACTCAGCTGGGCATTTCTTCTGCTGATTTTTGCAGCCTCTTGACATACCTGCAGACATCTGATGGCTGCACCAGGGCTGACTGATATAAGGGGACCATAATTCCGTGTCTGTCAATGCAAGCAGTTGGCCAGGCCACATATGTCCTAACAGGCTAGCCCAGGCTTCTTCAGTTTCTTCACATGACAGCTGGATTCCAAAAGTAACACAAGAGAAGTAAGACTTCTTGTGCCAACACTTACCAAGCTTCTGCTTGTGTGTGTTTGCTAGTATCCCACTGGCTAAAAGCAAGCCATGTGGTTAGCCTGGAGTCACTCTGAAGAGGGGCCACACAAGGGCCTGGATGCAGAGGCTTGATTTCTTGGAGTGATCACTGAAGCAGTTGTCGATAGCTCTCATGCATGTCACCAGTACAAAGGGTCCCTGTTGTGTCTGCAAATTATAACAAATTGTAATTTTTGATGGTTACTTTCAAAGAGAAATCACCAAATTTGCTGCCATCATTCTCGACAGTCATTCCGGAAGTGGAAACTTAGACCACATCAGGTTTTGCATTCGTGTCCTAGATCATGAAGCTAGAGAGTTTATGTTGGAAGTCTAGTCCTCCGAACAGCCTCTTGCCCGTTGTGACCTTTAAACAGGTGCCCAGCCCTGCCAAGCTGGTTGGGCTATGTGTGTGTCGTGCAGGTCCTAGAGTGGGCTCAGGAGAAGCGGAAACTGAGCGTGTTGCATATTCATGGAGTCTACACCAACCCTAGTGGCATTGTCCTTCATCCAGCTGGATATCAGAATGTGCTCAGGAACACTGAAGTCATGGTGAGTGGGGCCGATCTTGCTGGTCTCAGGAACTCCTTCCTGGGAAATCTCTCTAAATATGCCATAGGTTTCTTTTTTTTTTTTTTTTTGAGACGGAGTCTCGCTCTGTCGCCCAGGCTGGGGTGCAGTGGCGCGATCTCGGCTCACTGCAAGCTCCGCCTCCTGGGTTCATGCCATTCTCCTGCCTCAGCCTCCGAGTAGCTGGGACTACAGGCGCCCGCCACCACGCCCGGCTAGTTTTTTGTATTTTTTTAGTAGAGACAGGGTTTCACCATGTTAGCCAGGGATGGTCTCGATCTCCTGACCTCGTGATCCACCCGCCTCGGCCTCCCAAAGTGCTGGGATTACAGGCTTGAGCCACCGCGCCCGGCCAGGTATTAAAGGGAAACATCTTCTTTTCATTAAGTGAAAACAGAAGGTCAGGGACTAGGAGCAGTGGCCCGTGCCTATAATCCCAACACTTTGGGAGGCCAAGGGGAGAGGATCGCCTGAGGCCAGGAGTTCGAGACCAGCCTGGGCAACATAGCGAGACTCTATCTTTACAAAAATAAAATTAGCTAGGCATCATAGTGCATGCTGTCCCAACTACTTGGGAGGCTGAGGCAAGAAGATCACTTGAGACTAGGAATATAAGGCTGTAGTGAGTGGTATCTAGAGCTGCTGCACTCCAGCTTGGGTGACAGAGCAGGACCCTATCTCTAAAAAAAGAAAGAAACTGGAAAGTCAGACATTCTTCCTGTGCTTTTTAACTTGTCAGTGTGCATGCTGTTGTAGGAGATGTAGAAGTTTTCTTAAGGTATCAAACCCTATGATCCTTGTTTGTACTTAATTGACAGCCAGCAGATGGCATGCCATCATTGGCATCATCTTCACATACAAAGGATACATTGGTACCTTTATCATCATTTGGTTTATTAATAGCCCTCTCTATGTCAGAAATAATTGAGGCAGCTTCTTACAAACCAGCCACTACTAGAGAATACATTCTAAAGAGACTTTGTATAAATGGCAATGGGCTTATATTGAATTAACCACACTCATTCACACTTACTCTTTGTGGAAAGCTTATTGATCTTCTGTGATGCACATTTTCGACTTGTTCAGATAAACATGTTCAAACCAGAAGTATTCACTGTCCCCCAGCTCTAAGAATCTTGTTTGCTATTTTCAGGACTGTGTCACATAGAATATAGCATCTTTAAACAGTAAGGCAAAAGACCAAGAAAATGTATGGTCTGAAGCACAAGGGACTTTTTTTTTTTTTTACCCATTCTTTCCCAACATCTGCCGTAACTGCAGCCATCTCTGATACCGAGTGATCCCTTAGGCAGAGTCATTTCTGTGTTTTTTTGTGTGTGTATAAATATACACACACACATACTGATGTTCTAAGTATCAAACGCCTTTCCTTGAGCAAATCTGATGATGGAATTATCTTCTCCGGTGACTCACAGTTCAGTTGGTAAGACAAAAAAAGGCAAATATGGTCCAGAAATGGAAGGAAGGATTAAGATATATGAAGACCTCTTTACCTAATGACCTCTGGGCACAGAAATCTTAAAAAGCACGCCTGTAATCCCAGCACTTTGGGAGGCCAAGGCGGGCAGATCACTTGAGGTCAGGAGTTCAAGACCAGCCTGGCCAACATGGTAAAACCCTGTTTCTATTAAAAATAGAAAAATTAGCTGGGCATGGTGGTGGGTCCCTCTAATCCCAGCTACTTGGGAGTCTGAGGCAGGAGAATCGCTTGAACCTGGGAGGTAGAGGAGGTTGCAGTGAGCCAAGACCATGCCACTACACTCCAGCCTAGGTAGCAAAGCAAGACTGTGTCTCAGGGTGCAGCACACCAACATGGCACAAGTATACATATGTAACAAACCTGCACATTATGCACATGTACCCTACAACTTAAAGTATAATAATAATAAAAAAATTAAAAAAAAAAAAAAAAGACGGTGTCTCAGAAATGAAATAAAAATAAAAAAAGTAAAGTAGTGGCCAGGTGCAGTGGCTCACACCTGTAATCCCAGCACTTTGGGAGGCCAAGGCGGCTGGATCACTCGAGGTCAGGAGTTCCAGACCAGCCTGACTAAAATGGCAAAACCCCGTCTCTACTAAACATACAAAAATTAGCTGGGTGTGGTGGTGCACACCTGTAATATACTCAGGAGGCTGAGGCACGAGAATCACTTGAACTGGAGAGGTGGAGGTTGCAGTAAGCCGAGATCACACCACTACACTCTAGCCTAGGTGACAGTGAGACTCTGTCTCAAAAAATATATAAAATGTAAAAAATAAATAAACTACTGGACCAGTACAGTGACACCAGCTCTATGAAACCCTTATTAGAGAGCCTACAGAAGAATGCCAGGTAAAGATAAAATTTTAGACCAATCATCAAGTTACAGCAATAAGCGAGAGATCCCACTCCTTGATGGGACATACCAACCCATGTAAGTCTTGGTTAATTGGTCATCATAGTCTGCTCAATGTAGCATGACCTTCTTGGTTCATACCTGCCTTGAGTGTATCTTCACAATGTCAATATGTTGTATCTTTTCCTTCAAGAGAGAGATTCAGAAACTTTACGAAAACAAGTCATTTCTCTTCCTGGGCTGTGGCTGGACTGTGGATGACACCACTTTCCAGGCCCTTTTCCTGGAGGCTGTCAAGCATAAATCTGACCTAGAACATTTCATGCTGGTTCGGAGAGGAGACGTAGATGAGTTCAAAAAGCTTCGAGAAAACATGCTGGACAAGGGGATTAAAGTCATCTCCTATGGAAATGACTTTGCCGATCTTCCAGAATATTTCAAGCGACTGACATGTGAGATCTCCACAAGGGGTAGATCAGGTAAGATACATTTTGAAGCTGAGGGGAATCAGAGAACAACAGCTTTTCAGCCATTGGTGTATTTGTGATGGGCAAAATAGTTGCCAAGATGAGGAATGTAATGACTGACCAAATTGTAAAGGAGGCCACAGTCTTCAGGTTAGACTAAAGTGCCATTTGGATTATGGGAAAACAGACAAAAAGGAATGCTCGAGCCATTCAATATAGACATAGGAAGATTGAAGAAAATAGATGTTCAGCCTCACTAGTTATCAATGAAATGCAGTTCGAATTTAGATTACAAAATAGAGAAGAAAGATCACTCCTTTTTGGCTAAGGCTGGAGAAAATAAATTTATTCATGGAGTATTTGTGGAAAGGTAAAGTCAGTACAACCTTTATAACCATAAATTTAGAGGATGTGATAAATATTTTCAAATCTTTGACCCAGAAATCCCATCAAAACAATTTGTCCTAGAAGAAATTTCTCATAGGATATAATTGGATGATTGCACAGTCACCACATATGTACAAAGATGCATATGTGGGAATGTAGTCTCCATTGAATGTAGTGGCAAAAAATTGGAAGGAACGTAAAATTAGTAGAGAGATTCTACAGATATCCCAGTATTTATTTAACTGATGAAATACAATGAAGCCATAAAAGGGAAAATGTTTTCATTGCCATAAAAAAAAGAGACATATGGGTAAAGGAAGAAAAAGCAGGTTGTAAACACCATGGTCACCTACATTCATATAGAATTGTACAGTTTTTTTTTTTTTTTTTTTTTGGTGCGTATGGAAATATATCCGGAATGTTTTCTAAATTAAGTGGCTATCTTTATGTAGTAGGATTTAAAGTGTTGATTTTTTGGTTTCTGTGTTGGCATTTTCTATGATGATTATGTATTATCTTTACAAACAGAAAACTAACTTTTAGAAATGCTGTTTGGAAACGGATAATGGTGGTATTCAAGTCAGAGGATAGAGGTGTCATTCACTTGATATTTTACCTCCACATTTTAACAATAAAGAGCAAAATGGTGCTTAAAGATTCAGCTGATTAGTGGCTGCAGGCAAATTCCCAGTAACCGCACAACACACAGACATTTTTGGTATCAGCTAAACTGAAGAATGCTTTTTCAAAACCTCGCATTGCCAGGCTCCAGAGTATGGCTAGTTGTACTCATCCATCTAATTCCGAAAAAACTTTGCTGTTGTACACAAAATATTTCCTGAAAACTTACGTATTTTCATTGTCAACCTGAATGCATCTTAGGAGGGCAAAAGTACAGGTAATTTGGCCTGTAATCCCAACACTTTGGGAGGCCCAGGTGGGAGGATCACTTGAGGCCAGGAGTTGAAGATGAGTGTGAGCAATATAGTGAGACCCTGTCTCCGCAAAAAATTAGCCAGGTGTGGTGGCACACACCTGTAATCCAGTTGCTTGGGAGGCTGAGGCAGGAGGATCACTGGAGCCCAAGAGTTGGAGTCTGCAGTGAGCTATGATTGCATCACTGCACTAGTCTGAGCAATAAAGCAAGACCCTGTTTTTAAAATAAATAACATACAGGTAATTTAATAAACAAAAAGCAGTTTTCTAAATCAAATCATCCCCAGATTTCTTAACTGAATCAGATGGCTTCAAGTAGAAAGAATTCTCCTGTAATGAAAAATTATACAGCTTCTTCCATGGCTATGCTTTGATGGAACCAGACTTTTAAACGCCATCACCACGTGAACAAGTCTCATTTGTGAAAACTATTTACTATTCTTTGTTGGAAATGAGTTTTTCTGGTGTCCTGCAGTGTTCTAGACTCTTCTGCTGTTGTTTGCCCACACTTGAGACTTTGAGTAGGCTTTTCTGTTGCATATATTCTGTTTTCATTAGCAAGAGATACATATCCAAGTTCTACGTATTTCTTTTGATCTGTATGCTGAGGAAAGATGCTAAAATTTAAAACAGCAAAATCCCTCTGGATAACTGCTTCTGCTGCACTAAATCTTAGCAAAAAAAAAAAAAAAAATGTCGTTAGACTGTTGCATTACATAGCAAAGAATCAGTCAGGTTCCGGCCGGGCGCGGTGGCTCAAGCCTGTAATCCCAGCACTTTGGGAGGCCGAGACGGGCGGATCATGAGGTCAGGAGATCGAGACCATCCTGGCTAACACGGTGAAACCCCGTCTCTACTAAAAAATACAAAAAACTAGCCGGGCGCGGTGGCGGGCGCCTGTAGTCCCAACTACTCGGGAGGCTGAGGCAGGAGAATGGCATGAACCCAGGAGGCGGAGCTTGCAGTGAGCCGAGATCCGGCCACTGCACTCCAGCCTGGGCGACAGAGCGAGACTCCGTCTCAAAAAAAAAAAAAAAAAAAGAATCAGTCAGGTTCCTTAGTGCACTAAGATTGCTCTAAGGAACCTTAACTGCTATTGTGGAATGGCACAAATTCTGTTATTAGCTGTGTAGGCTTCCCACCAGAGTAGCTTTCCCCAGAGTTACCTGTCATTAAGGTGTTCTGTATCTTTCAAAACAATCGGATTTTCAGTACGGCCAGAGTGCTGTATGGGAATGGTCAGCTGAGTTTGTCACGTGAAATGCAGTAGAGCAGTTTCAGGTGAAAACATCATTTCATTTTGAAACAAGCCAACCTTATCTTTCACCCTTGCATAATGTTTTGAGTCTCTGTCGATATAGACTTACTAGTTAAGAGTTTACAGGTCTTTTGCTGTTGTTTTGTTTTTTAACACTGAGCATTTGCTATGTGCCTGGCGTCGTGTTGTATACTCACTTTTGCATAGTGGATATTAATTGTCCTCAGAGGATTCTGTAGTGTGTAGTTATGCATATTTTAGAAAAATCAAGCAATAGGAAAAAGAAAAATAATTCTTATAATCCATTACCATACAAGCAATCGTTTTGGTACTTTTTTTTTTTTTTTTTTGAGATGGAGTCTTGCTCTGATGCCAGGCTGGAGTGCAGTGGTGTGATCTCGGCTCACTGCAACCTCCGCCTCCTGGGTTCAAGTGGTTCTCCTGCCTCAGCCTCCTGAGTAGCTGGAACTACGGGTGCGTGCCATCATGCCCAGCTAATTTTTTGTATTTTTAGTAGAGCTGGGGTTTCACCATGTTGGCCAGGATGGTCTCCCATCTCCTGACCTCATGATCCACCCACCTTGGCCTCCCAAAGTGCTGGGATTACAGGCGTGAGCCACCATGCCCAACCCTTTTTATTTTTATTTTATTATTTCTTTTTGATACAGGGTCTTGCTCTTTCACCCAGGCTGCAGTGCAGTGGCACAGTCATGGCTTACCAGGGCTTTGACCTCCCCAGGGCTCAAGTGATCCTCCCACCTCAGCCTCCCAAGTAGCTGAGACTAAAAGGCACATACCACGATGCCCAGCTAAATTTTGTATTTTTTGTAGAGATGGGGTTTCACCATGTTACCCAGGCTGTTCTCAGTCTCCTAAACTCAAGCAGTCCTCCCACCTCAGCCTACCAAAGTTCTGGGATTACAGGTGTGAGCCACAGCACCTGGCCTTGGTACCTCTCTGATGAAGTTTTCCCTGTGCATTTTTTCATAGTTGTAAACAAAATATACAGTTTCGGTCCTTTTAAAATTTAGTAGTGGATCATACATTTTCCCACATCCCTGTCTTCATAACCACTATTTTAATTGACTTTTATATTCTGGTAGGGTTGTTACAGTTTACCTAATTATTCCTGTTAGGCAATGTCTGATCTTTTTTTTTTTTTTTGCCAGTTTTTTGTAAGTCATGTTGTGAAAATAACATCTGTATCCCTTCAGTTTTTCCAATAATTTCCTTGATGAGTTCTCAGTGTAATCAGGTCAAAGATCAGGAACATTTCAGTAACTGATATATATTGCTAAATTGTTTTCTGTGGGGGTAATACCAATGTGTATATTTGAGTATCATGCCTGTTTATACTCTAATTGACCATATTTCTAATGACTATTTTCTTCCATGTGTTGTTTTGTACTTTTTCCGAACTATTATCTATGCCAGTGTTATCCAATAGAATTTTCTGCAGTCATAACAATACTGTATAATCGTCACTGTTCAGTATCATAGTTAGGAGCCACATGTGGCTGTTGCACTGTTGAAATGTGGCGTGACTGAGGAAATGAATTTTTAATTTGAAACTAAGTAGCTGCATATGGCTAGTGCGACCGTATTTTATATTGTGGGAGTATTCGGCTACTTTCCACTCTTCTGTTTGAATTTGCTCACTCACTTGCCTTTGCCCATCCGTGGTGAGATTGAATTTTTACCTGAACTTGGTCCTCTAGACTGTTTAGGGACAGCAGACACATGTTCCCTGTATATAAAATGTTTTGTCTACAAGCAATCATAGTGCACTGTGGAAACTCACTGCTTCCCTGTTAGGTAATGCAAGTCTAAAGACTACTCCAGTTTATCCTCTCTGCCTCCTTCTCTTCTCAATGAGTGTTTCATTTCTAAATGCCATCCATTTCAAGCATACCATATATCCTCATCTCTTTAGTTTTCTTTTTGCTATTAATAGTTTTAGCTTTTCAGTCCAATGTCTGATGCTGATGTCCTCTGTTTAGCAGGGATGGTGAGAGAAGGTCAGCTAAATGGCTCATCTGCAGCACACAGTGAAATAAGAGGTATACTGTTTCCTATTCTACTATTTATCACTCTGTAGCAGAAAGTCTTTCTAGGTCCTTGGTTAAGACTAGAGAGAATGTTACTTTGAACCTCACATTGCCAAATTTAAAAAAACACTATAGTGAGTGATTTTCCTCTCCTACCCATTAGCGATTCTATCTTTTCCTATCAAGTCTATTACAATGTAGTGAAATGATCAGTTAATTTTTAAAGAAGTACTGCTGGGTGTGGTGGCTCAGGCCTGTAATCCCAGCAATTCAGGAGGCCAAGGTGGGAGGATTGCTTGAGCCTAGGAGTTTGAGACTAGCCTGAGCAACATAGCTAGATGTCGTTTCTACAAAAAAAACAAAAAACAAAAACAAAACACTGCCAGGTGTGGTGGTGTGCGCTGCAGTCCCAGCTACTCAGGAGGCCGAGGTGGGAGGATTGCTTGAGCCCAGTGAGCTATGATTGTGCCACTGTACTTGAACCTGGGTGACAGAGAAAGACCTTGTCTCTAAAAAGTAAATAAAATTTTAAATAAATTACAAGATTCCTAGCATCTCCTGTCTTGCCTTCTGAAGGGTTAGGATTGACTTAAGTATCTGCAGCTTCCGATGCATAAACCTGTTTTGTGAAACTTCATTTTGTTCTCTTTTCTTTCTCCCCACAGGCTGTAGTACATGAGCGAGCTAGAGAAATCACCACCGTTAGACCAAGCTGTAAGGCCCTACCACGGACAGTGTTTAACAAATAAACTTACAAGAACCCAACACAACTCCCAGAAAGTAACAATAGCCAGAGGTTGAAGGGCGGGGTAGAAGAGGGGGGAATGTTCCAGCGTAATCCTTCATACCACCTGGTTCTTGATATTCTGCTGCCTGTTCAAGAATAAAAGTGACAGCAGGACCCAAATGCAGCTCCCGACCCACTCCCCAGGCTGGACATGCTTGTGTCCACACAGCACACCAATGTGATACCTCCACTGACTGGCTGCAGCTCTGCATGGACTCGGGGTCTAGATGCCATGGAATCACCGTGGCTCTTGTTGCAGTTTTGTACTCTATACTTGGTTTTTCAATTAAGCTTAATGGCTTTTTTAAAACATGACTTGAAGCTCTAGTTTTCTAGATCTTTTACAGTGTACAGTATTTTACATAACTGAGCTGTATTAAAAGCTTGTTCATTTACTTGCCAGGACCCCGGCTCTACTTTGAGAGTCATTGTAGAAAACTCGGACTTGCGTCAAGGCACTAACTAAAAGCTTCATTTTACTAACCCCAATTTTAAAGGTTCTGATCTTTCACCTTGGGGTGATCTCATTCTTAGGACAACCGTTTACTTACCTGATTCCTTGGAGTAAACTTCTGCTCTGTTGTCCTGACCATATATAAGCCCTAGAACTATAGTTAGTGTGTTGTGGAATTTTAGTTTTGAATCCTGTATAAAAGAACTCCAAGACCTAAAAGGCAATTTATTTATGAAATTTATTTTCTTATATAAATTACTTATTTCTCTGGGCAGACAGCCTTCACCTTATTGCACTAATAGCACATCTGTAATATCAAGCTACAGGACAAGTCTTAACAAGAGGTTTGTATTTTTCAACGTAGCACTTGTCTACCAGGCACTGTAGAGGGGAGTGATGAGGAAAAGCCAGGACTGCTTAGGAGGATGGGAGGGGAGGGGGCAACACATACCCTTCTCACAATTGGTTTCCTCCCAGGAAGGGGAACATGCAAAGCTGACTTCTGGATTCTGGGAATGGGAAGAGTTGGGAGGCCGAGAAGCCCAATGCAACCCTGCAGCTCACCTCCCTTTATTTCTGAGGGAAGCAGGGACTCATCTTTTGCTCATTTGTAACAAATCACTCCAGCCTAGCTGACGCTTTGGGGTAAACAATGGAGTAGGAATCATCATCAGAATTAGAATTAGCAGCAATTAACAGGCAATACACTGCCACAGTGAGGCGGGTGTCATCCAGGTCCTAGGGACCTGCAGGCTGTGTATCCTAGGGAGAGGTGCCATTCAAGACCTGGCGCTGGCTCTGGAAGAGTCTCTTAACCTAATGCAGCTGGGACTCATTAGGCTCAGACGGCTCCTGGCCACACTAATTATTAGCAAAGCTCTGGTGTTGGGTTCCAACCATTGGTCAAAGCTGTAATGAGACTGAGTCTGTAGGCAGAGTGAAGGGGGTGCCTGAGTAGGAAGGGGGAGACCTGCTGGGAGAGGGTCAGTGGGCAGTGATTGTAACATGATTAGGGCCTCCTTGTAGATGGCGGCTGTGCTGAACGGGGAATGGGGTTGGAAGGAGCCACAAGCCCCCTCGCTCTGCCTTTGTACTACACTGAAGACAAGTTGCTCACATACTCTAAAGCACATTCTTGATACAGGAAGAAGGGCTTGTGGGGAAAGCGGCGATTTGGTATTGGGCAAGAGCCATGTTAAGCCTTCATGAGGGCAGCCACCACAGCCTTGGCATTGAGGCTGCGTAGGTCACAGTAGGTCTGGCCGGTGCCCACAAAGACGATGGGTTTGCTTGTGATGTACGTCATAGAAATAGCAGCTCCCACCTAAGTGGAGAAAGGGGACAGCCAATCAACATGAGCCCACTTTTCACTCGCCCTCTCAGGAACAGGAAGCGCTGGAGCCAAGGTTTCCTTGCAGCCTCAGCTCCTTTGTGGAGGATGCCCATTCCACCCTCCAGTCTCACGTTTACCTTGTCATCAATGGTATCAAATTTGGTAAGAACAATGCCATCAATGAGCCGAGGTGTCTGAGCCATAGAATGGTCAGCCAAGGCTCTATTGAACTTGACCTGGAAAGAAAAAAGGTGATAGAAGTGTAAGAACCATCTACATTGACTAAAGCTTAAGTTGTAAAGGGAACTGGGCCCACACTCTCACCAGCTGGTCCACGGCTTCATTGCCTACTAAGGCTTCTCCTACAAACAGCACCAAGTCGGGTGTATTGACAGTAATGAGTTTGGCCAGGGCAGTCATCAGAGGGGCATTGTCTTGCATGCGGCCCGCCGTGTCCACCAGCACCACGTCAAAGCCTTGGTTACGTGCTAAAGAAAGAAAGTGGTCAACTCTGAAAACCTGGACTACAACTAATCTCATTCCCAGCTTCCTTTCAAAAAATCCTAGTTTGGCTACCTGTTCACTGTCTTGGGCCCTGGATTTGGTTCCAAGGTAATGTGAGAAAAACTTGACTGTATGCTTGGCCATCACCAAACATATTCAGGAAAAGGAGGATAACAGGATAAAGGTGACCAAATTCAGGCTTCTTTGGTTAGGGTGTATTAACTTTGCCTGCAACTGTATCTATTACCCAAAAGCAGGGCATGGCAAGTAACTGATCTGACTTTTTACTGTAATTAACGAGTCTGTAGTAGCACAAGCCTGATCTGCAAATTCCAAGAGAACCAAAGGAGGAAAAGGGACCCCAAATAAGCCCCCAGACTTCCCGTGCACCGTACCAAAAGCAATGGCTTCCATAGCAATGCCAGCAGCATCCTTGCCATAGCCCTTTTCAAACAACTGCACCATGGTGCGGCCACCATGCTTCTCTGGAGGGTGTAGGGCACTCAAACGCCGGGTGTGTGTACGCAGCTGCTCCACAGCCCCGGCACGAAATGTATCACAGGCAGCAATGAGGACACTGAAGCCATTCTCTAACAACCAGAAGGAAATCTGTGAAAAAGAAGTGAGAAAAGTCACCTAAAGCCAGGATTTTGAGACACGAGAAGTACAGAAATATCAGCGACAGGCTGGGGAACTGCACTGACCTTGGCAAGATTAGTAGATTTCCCCACTCCATTAACACCACAGAAGGTGACGACATAAGGGCGCTGGCGACGCTGGGCGTCCATGATGTCCCGGAGCATGTCTACACGACGCTGTGGCTGCAGAATCTGCACCAGGGACTCCTGTAGGGCTTGCTTTACTGTGGAAGTCACCGCTGAAAGAGGAGGTGGAGGACGTTTGCAGCTGTGTAAAGAATGCTCTCAAAAATGCCTAACACCTTTCTGAGCTAAGGGGACTAAGTTAACTAGACTCTTTTCCCAGAAATCCAGAACAGACGCACATTACAAGGACTAACTCATTTAATCCTCTCAATAACCCTTAAAATCTAGGTTACAGAGGTTTAGAGGTTAAGGATTTTGCCAAAAGTCACATACCTCGTAAGAACGGAGGTCTATGCACTTAACCTCTTGGTACACATACGCACTTTCTCACTTAGGGCAGTACTTACTGCTGAACGTCCCCATCACCTTCCCTTCCAGCTTGTTGGCAACGGATTCACAGAGCTGGACGGCAATGTCTGCAGCCACATTCTTAGCTGAGGAGAGGGGGACAGGTAGGTCAGTTCCATGTCAGCAACAACCAGTCTTTATGGTGCAGGTGAGAAACGCTAGGTGAGTCTGCTCTCAATTACCTGTATCCCGTGAACATGAGTCAGCCCGGTCCTCAGAGCTTACCAATTAGATGATCACGCATCTTGTCCAGCACAGATTCCATGTCTTCACGACTCAAGCTCTTTGAACCCACAAGGCCCTTCAGCATACCAAACATGCCACCCAGTGTTCCCTTGGTTGCACTGCAGGGACAGGAGATGACAAATACACATAGAGCGAGTAGGTGGGAGTTGTATCTTACCAGTTTTGCAGATGCATATGCCACCCCCCCACCTGATATCTCCCTACCTAGGCTTGGTGGAGTTTTGAGCAGCCCCTTCGTCGTCGGAGCTGCTGCAGTCCAGATCCTGAAGCTGCCCCCCAGGCCCAGTCCCTCGAATCTGGAAGATACAGGGAAAGGAGATGGGGCCAGAAACATTAAGGTCTCTGAGGAAAAAGTCCACATTGCTCTATCTCTTTCATTTGGGGAAGCTCCAAGTATAACTTACCCCTCATTCAAATCCAAGTATCATGTTCCCACACTCTACTTCCTCCCAATTTGTTATTAAAGATAACCTTCACTTTGACCCCTGTTGCCTCTTACCAAGTTGATGTCCTCAGATAAGGCAGCCTCAGGGCTTCCATTGGTGGTGGGAGTACTGTAATCCAACACTTCTTTGTTAGCACAGCCACCCAGTTCCCATACCCGGGGTGCTTTTTTGCCCTTCTCCTTTGGAGCATCTGACTTCGTGGACTTGCTGCAACAGGTTATGGTGGAGAAGTAGGAAAGGAAACATGAGCCGGAGACCAGAACTCCCTTGCACCCATCATGTCTAGATAACAGTATTTTGAGAGTACTGAAGAAAGAGTGCTCACTTGGATTTCTCCATACCCCTCCCATGCTTCTGAATGAACTCCTCTCGCTTCCTGCGGATCAGCTCCTCTTTGGAAAGTTCTACTCCGTTCTCAGGACCCACTGGAAGACCTGACTTTTCTGCAGGGACGGCTTTGCTGGTAGCCAAAGGACCATCAGAACCTGTTGGGAAAAAACTCACTGAAGGAAAAAAAAAGACAATCTCAACCACTAGACAATGGCTAAAAGTCTTCCAAATTGTTCAAAGGAAATTTGGACCAAACATCTTGGAGTTCACAAGGCCTGGGGATTATAGGATGGTGAGCATTTGAGTGAGAAGGAGGCAAGCAATGACAGAAGGAAGGAACACCTCAGTCCTCAGCACCGTCTTAACACCTTTCATGTCCCAGTGTATCCAAAGAACTCAAACTCGCCTTCCTTCTTGGCCCCCTTTTTTTTGTTATTCTTTGCTTTTTCCTTGGGCTTTTCCCCGCGTGTCTCAATCATGGACCTCACAGGTTTCTTGGCCTTTTCAGAATCTTCAAATTTCTTCATGGTAGTGGGAGCTCGGATCTTACTGCTCTCCTCTGCTTCACTAAACAAAAAAGAGAATGGTTTTTCTTCCCGTGCAGGAGGAAAAATAACAGTCCAGAGAAAGGACTCTCACACCTAAGAGGACAATGAGAACTGGAGGGCAAATTAGGAATGTCTTTGAACACACCAATTTACCACCCTTGAACCACCTTCAGAGAGATCATCAAATCAGGGAAATAAATTGATTTTAGAGAAGGCAGGTCTCTCACCGAAGGAGCCGCAGGAAGTCATTTTGGAAATCAAAAGTGCCATTTAATAAACTCAAAGCACTTTGCTGTTGGATCTCCGTGCGGTACTTGTCCCGAAACAGCCGGTGCACGTCATCTATCAATTTGTCTACATAC